AGGCGCCTCTGCCAGCTCCAGCTCCTCACGGGCCGCGCCCACGGCGTCTTCATCAGCATTTTCCAGAACAGGCCCCAGCACAGGGCCCCCAGGCGCTCCCCGAGTCCGGTGCCCCCGCCCGAGCCTAGTCTCCGTACTGCACCTCGGCCTGCAGCTCCTTGGTGACGTAGCCGACGAGCAGCGCCAGCAGCCGCTCCTGCAGGGCCTCGCTGCCCATGACCAGCATGGTGAGCTGCACGGCGTCCGTCCACTCCAGGTGCCTGACGATGGCTGTGACCTGGTTGAGCAGCTTCTCCTGCTCGGCGGGCGGCAGCTCCATGAGGATCTGAGGGACCGGCTTAAACTGCCCGCTGGTCATCCAGGCCCCTAGGAGCCCCCCGACGGCGCCCCCTGGGGGACAGGAAGGTTCGGTGAGTCGGGTTGTTCACAGTGCTGGCTCGGAGCTCGCTGGGAGCGCGTCACAGGATTCAGGTGGCAGCCCAGGGCTCAGGCCACAGTTTGTGGTCCAGGTCACAGGCCGTGGTGGGGTCACCCGGGAACCTCCTGCTCCCAGACTAGAGGGAGCAACTCACACGACCTCTAAGGGACCATGGAACCATCCAACCTCCCCCATTGGCAGAAACTGGTCCCCAGACGGGAGCAGGGTTGAGACCAGGGGCAGGTGCACATGGGCGACCGTGGGCACTTCTCCTGCACAGACTGGGGACTGGGGATTGGGGTGGGGCCGGGCGCTCTCTGAGCGGCCAGAGGCCTGGAACCCCAGCTCCCTCCTGATCCTACAATGAAGACAGGACCGGGCCTGCCCAGGGGACACAGGGCACACCCCCGGGGCAGGGCGCCTTCCAGTCCGCAGGCAGGAGCCACAGGAGGGCGCCCTGCACAGCGCCCCGCCCCGCGTGCTTGACGGCCGCCTTCATCTTCCTCGCCTCCGAGAGGGAGCACAGCAGCTTCATGGCCTCCTCCACCATCAGGGGCATCGCGTGTCCCGGCCTGAGGGGGGAGGGTTCCCACGCGTCAGCTCCCACCCAAAGCTCACTCTTCCCAGTGTCCAGGGCGGACCCCCTGCTCCAGGATCCCAGCTCTGCCGTGGGCGAGAGGACAGCACCGTCCGTCATGTGACAAGTCCTCTGTCATTGAGAAAGCGGGGCTTCCGGTAGTCAATAAGCAAACAGTCCCGGCTGGTGTGGCTCAGTGGTTGAGGAGGTCGGGGTTCGATTCCCAGTCAGGGTACAGGCCCTGGTTGTGGGCTCGATCCTCAGTGTGGGGAGTGCAGGAGGCAGCCCATCAATGATTCTCTCATCACTGATCTCTCTCTCTCTCTCCCTCCCTCTCCTTTCCTCTCTGAAATCAAGAAAAAGAAAAATAATAAAAAAATAAAAAGCACCCACCGGGAAAGGCAACCCACCCCCATTTGTGGGCCGGGAGGCGGCAGGAACACCCAACAGCCAGAGAATAAAAGAATCACACAATCCCAGGGACCCGAGGATGTGTGGATCGTACAGAGCAGGACCTGACTTTGGGACAACGTTACAGCAAGTCTCTGGGGTCAGGAGACTGTTGGCCAAGCTGGCAGGTGGGACATGGCAGGGCGGGGCGGGCTCTGCCCAGGGTCCCGGGGATGGAGCGCCCCCGCCTGGCAGGGCTGGGAAGTACAGTCAAGGCTGAGCTATTTCCAGCTTGAGCTCCAGCCCAGCCCAGC